AAAAAAAAAAAAAATTTTGCTGCAGCGATCTCAGTGTTTCAAACATTTTTAGTTACAAGTTTAGCTCAAATTCACACTGTTGTCACTTAGAGCACCCTGTTGTTCACTCATTAGGCTGCTCAGTCTGGTAGCCGAGCTCAGTCTCTCTTTCTATAGTGTGCGTGTGTGTGTTGGATGTGGCTGGAGGCTGCTGCTGTTGAATTCGGGTGGTCCTGTTCTGGCCTGCTCTCTAACCTCTCCCAATCAATGTGACGCACACACACAACACAAACACATATTACACACAACACATATACACACACACACACATATACACACACACACACACAGCAAGCTTTGGGACAAGAGGATTAAGGAAATTAAAAAAGAAATCTCTGACAAATCTCTCTATCACACAGACTCAGAATTAAGAAACTTTCCTAGTTGGCTTCAACGCTTGCACTTACGAACAGATACACAACACACACTTTAACACCTTATCTGACTCAGCCGCAGAGAACTGATGGGGTGGACAAAATAACAGAAACATGGACGTTAAGCTTAACAGCTTTTATTTACAAAGTGTTGAATGGTGTTATAATGTAAGGATGGTTCTTTTTAGTTTTCAATCTTTTTTATTCTGTCGTTCTTTTATTGCAGCTGAATTAATGTGGTGATGCAAAATGGTCAACTACTGTTTGTTGCGCATAAAATCTAATATGCTAAAATGTACATGAGTTGGAGACAAGAGAGGTTTGCTGACCAAGGCATAATTGCTGACAATAGGCTGCAACGATTCCTTGAGTAACTCGAGTAACTTGATTACAAAAAATGATCGAGGAATTTCCTCTGCCTCAAAGCCTTTTAAATAAATTTAAAGCTCACGTTTCACGGATTCTTTTTTAGTGTGACACAATGTGCTTAGTCACAGTGTTGGGGTAACGCATTTAAGTGTAACGGCGTTATTTTTTCAGTAACGGAGTAATCTAATTAATTACTTTTCCCATCGCTGCAACGCCGTTACTGAGAATGATTTTAAAGTAAGAAGCGGCTTTTGTAACATGTGTGCACAGACGACCAAAAACGTGAAATGAGCAAACGCAGCAAAGCGAAAGTAATCAGAGGACAGACAGAAGATGTCGAAGGTGTGGGATTATTTTAAATTAAAAATTAAGGACAACATCGTGGGTGTGTACATTGCAAGATGGAGCGGCGTACCGTAGTCTGAAGTAATTTTATTATTTTTATTGGAAATTTTGACTAAACGGTTTACTACTTTGCAAATATGTATAATAAATAAATGTCAATTTTCTTAAAAAGAAACAAATGGGTTTCTTATTAAGTGATCTGTCTTGTTTTCTTGTATATTTATAATTGGGCTTAATTAAGCAAAAGTATGTTTTATCCGATTACTCGATTAATCATGCAATATTCGATAGAATACTCGATTACCAAAATATCGATAGCGCAGCCCTACTGACAATTACTTTGGAATATAAGTAAACACATCAATCAAATATTGGGGCCATTATTTTGTTGTGTGTTTATGACAGTGGAGCTCACCTCTTGTTCGATCGTTGTCGTTCCCACCAGACAGTATTTGAGGTCCGCACCCGGCCAATGACAGCATTACTGCAGATCACGCTGCCCTGGATGTTACATCTGGAAATGACAAACACAAATGACATTAATTACATTCAGCTTTTATTTCTATTAATGGTTCCAAACTTGGGGTTGGGACTCCCATGGGTCCCCAAGATGAATCTGAAGGGTTAAAAAACAGCAATAGAAATAATACTTTCACCTCTTTTGGACTCTAAAAACCCTTCAAGTGAACAACTGAGAGCAAACAGTCAGATACATACAGACCTGAAAGTGGTTAGCCAGTGATTCATTTCTGGTACCACTGATAGCGACAAACTAATTAAAGATTAATATTTTGCTGGATAGGTTTGTCGTGTTAAAACATGATCTTTCCGACTCTGTTTGCTCTTTGAGCCCGCTGGAGATTCGAACATGTTTATGGTTCACATTCTGTTTCTTCCTTGTACTTTATTTACACATGGGCACGTACACACAGTTAAGAACATTCATACTGGAGCTGCCCAGTGCAGCCACAGCCTTCCACTTTCAGCTCTCCACTTGCACAGTTGTGAGTCAGTGCCACACTGGAGGTCAAACTGACAGTAGGAACATTCAGCCTGTTTCCCATCAGGGATCCTCCCACCTGCCCTGAACACTAAACATATCCAATCAACTAAACTTAATGACGTGACATTAGCATATATATTAAAGAACAACAGCAGCCACGCTGTGTGCACGTGTGTGTGTGTGTCAAACATTGTGGCCCTGTGCTGCAGTCCCACCTGAGCTGGCGCTGCCAACCTACCGTTCGCGCTCACATTCAGCCAAACCATCACCATAAAATTCTTGAGGGAGACACAGACAGTCTTGACACAGACAGTGTGTGTCCAGTGTCGGCTAACCGTGGAGGGCGTGTATATGTAAGTGTTGTGTGTGTTAGAGACTGTGTGTTTCAGTAGCTTGGGAGCCCGTGGAGAACACATGTTGGTCTGCCCAGCAGTGACGCACACCACTTGGCCCTCGCCACCTCACACACACAGACAGGTTTGTATTGGCCCATTCTATTCAGGTGGTTAGGCTGGAGGGAGAGGGAGAAAAGAGTGTGTGTCTGTGTCCTGTGGCGTGTGTGTGTGTGTGTGTGTGTGTGTGCAAGTGACTACCTAGGAGGTGGCGGTGGGTAGTTGGTATGGGAGATTACAAGATTCAGAGTTTTGTAACATTAAGAGAGAGGGAGAGAGAGAGACCACCAAAGAAGCTTCAGACTGAAACACCACTAATTACTAACACCAGGCTCCTCCTTGCCATGACCCCCATCATCCCTCTCTCTCTCTCCTTCTCTCTCTCACACACACACACACACGTCAACCCCCACCTCCTGTGCCAACCCCCCCTGTAAAGTTGACCCCTACTATCCCCCTTCCCAAACACGCAGCGCTTTGTCAACAACTTCTGGTCAGCTCCAAACAAAGAAACAAGAAATGCGAGGGGTTTCTGCGACATGGCCGGGGTCTGCTAATCCCCTCACACTGGCTCTTTCTTTCCTTCTTTCTCCTTCCTTCTTATGTCCTCAAAAAAAAAAGAAAAGAAAGAATTGCAATTTCTTTCTTGCGTGCTAGCTTGCTTTCCCCTGGCTTCTTTCTTCCCTTCTCTCATCTCTCTCGTTCTTTCATGTTCTTTGTGCGTGCACCTACATGGGCATGATGAGGGTCCCCATGCTGGCTGGCTGGGGTCCCTGAAAGGCTTAAGAAGAGATGGAGAGAGACAGAAAGAGAGTGAGAGGAGAGAGATGACGCTGAGGCCTTGATGGAGAGAAAAGAGAGGGAGGAGTAAGAAATTGAGATAAAAGAAAAGGAGCCTGTGAATGAGTGCATTAAAATCCAGACTTGAGGCCAAGATGAGTCTCTTTCTACCAGTTTCTGGCTAAGAGACTGAGCAGATCAATCTACATGCTTCTACAGTAGCTACTGGCAGTCTCAGTACAAGTCGTCTTTTATTGCAACAAAGCAGTCAATTTTGACTACTTAGACTACTGGCTACATTTGACAAGCCTGATGTGGAATAACATGGCTGACAATGATGTATCACCAGTTTTAGCCCTTCGCAAGTGAAATCATAATGTGGCAAACACAATGTCTGAGTCTGTTATTCCTTTCAGGTTCATTCCAGTGATATTTCAGCTGAAAAGAAGTTGAAATTACGTAAAGAAAAGCGCAGTATTTTGAGCATATCCTCTGGAAGTTTCTGTTTTCTGAATGTATGTATGGATGAATGAATGCATCTAAATCATATATATAATATATATTAATTAAGGTAAGCAAATCTTGTAATAAAGTTCACTAAGCCGCCTTACAAACTAATGCTGTGCATACAAACTTTCTTCAAATGCACACAACTATTAGAGATCCCAGAGTTTCGTAAGATACATAATTTATCGAATGTGTACAAATTGATGTACAAGACGTCTAGGACATTTGGGTATGAATATTTCCTTGTAAATATTATACGGCCACTTTAAGCTAGGAAAAGGGGAAATGTTATGGTGTTAGCCTAATAAATAACACAGAGAATTATCAAATAGCCCAGACTCTTGCTGTCGAGACCTTTCAAGCTCCCGCAGTGTTCCACAAATTCCATAACCAGTGGGAAACTTAGTATAGGCGAGTAAATTAGCGGTTAAATGGAATATATGGATGTTGTGTGTTTCAGTTCAGCAGCTTTGTGTTTGTTTGGAACTGATCTCTGGCTGGTTGCACACCAATAGTTGCATTGTTAACTCAGCGCTCCCTGTTTGACCCCATAGAGCACAGAAAACAAAACCTGTTACACCTCCCATCAACGGACACACACATGCACAAGCATCTGCCTGACACACACACACACGCACATTTGCACACAGGGGCACCTAGAAAATTCAATGGAAAGATATGCAATGAATGAAGAAGTAGGCATACCACTGTTTTTACATATGAAAACCAAACAGTGTTAACAAATAACAAAGGCAATGTTTAGGGGGTGGTGAAACACATAAATGGTATTACAAAATGTCATGTAAAAATGAAAATTTGAATGGAGATGAAAGGTGTTCATTACAAGTTTTTTTCCTGGCAACATATGATCACTCATCTTATTTTTAAATATCAGTTTACCAAATTCTGCTTTGACTCACACTGTATATGCATGTGCTAACTGAACACCAAACAAAAGCAGATGTGAGGATTAAACTTTATAAACATGCTTTGACGGCAAATTTTTTTTTCAGGCTATACTAAGATGTTCGCAGAAGCACTTCAAAGCACATGTCAGCATGTGTTTATGTGTGTACAGATGTGTGTGTTCTCACCCCTCCTCGATGGTAACCCCGTGCATGATGATAGAGTTGGTGACTTTGACCTTCTCTTTGACAGTGGTGGAGCTTCCAATGGTGGACCGCTTTATGGAAGTCTTATCTGCTACCTGGCACAGTGCTCCGATGATACTGTCTGATCCCATCTGAAGACAGAGCGAAAATGCACACACAAACAGTAACATTACTCAAACATGGATAGACACACGGGCCTCTTCAATGATGGTGAAATGCAAATTAGACTCTGAGAGATGATAGAGTGAGCTGTGATAAAGAACTGAAGATAACAGAAAATATGGATTTGGCTAACTATGTACCTGACATCTTTCAGAAATGACAGCCGATGGGTGGACTGCTGGCTCTTCAAACAGCTTTGGGGCCTAGTAGGGAGAAGACAGAAGAGAGGGAGACATAAGATGAAAAGCCTATGAAAGAACAGAAAGATGATTAAATGCCTTCAATTATCTCTCTGGAGGAATAAGGCCATACAACATTCAAATAAACATGCAATTTTGCCTTAAATGGAACTGGCTAAATAGAAGTAGCATTCAGTGAAATATGAAAATGCAATATGAAAAATAAAAAGTTAAGAAAATGTGAAAAAATAGCACAAAAAATACATAATTTTGCACACAGTGATGTCTGCAATTAGCATTTTTTGACCAATGAACAGTCCAAAACTTACAATACTGTTATATAAGACGAAGAAAAATAGCCAATTGTCACACTTAAGAGGCTGGAAGCAGAGAATGTTTGCTATTTTTGCTTGAAACAATAAATCGATTATCGATGCATTTCAGTTGACTAATCTTTGCAGCTCTAATACTTATGTAATGAAATTAAAGCCATGTATACATCTAGGATCATAAAACTGAACTCCCTCCAAACATACTCCATCACACATGTTCAGAACAAAAACCCTCGAAGGAGCAGGCTAGTGTCTGACTCACCAGTCGGTTCGCTTCTATGTAAGCAGCTAAAGTGTTGACGCGGTAGCAAAGGCCCTCGTCCATAATGTGAACGTAGCAGCGGAGTTTTCCTCCGTGGTAAGCCTCACTCATGTCCCCACGGTGGTCATTCCAACAAGAGCGCTCCTGGGCCAGCTTGAGGAGAGGCTCGTCTCTTGATGAGATGAGGAGCTCTGGAAAATAAAAAGAGAGAAAGAGAAAGAGAGGCAGGACGAAGGAGTTAAAATGATGATACATACACAGTGTTTTGGGGGATTTTGTGTGCTTGGGATAAGAGTTTTTTACTTTTTTTGTCAGCTTGATACCATGTCTATGTCAGTTTTCATTTTGAGCAAAAGCCAAACCTAGATACTTGCTGATGGCTTATGAATGACATCAAGAGCTGCGGGTTACAGTGCAGTTAAGTGCAACTACTGACCGTGGTTTGTAGAGCCGTCATTCTTGATCTGGTTCTGATCCTCTGTGTCATCTTTGCCTTTCTGACTGATTGTTTTGGAAAACTGCTTCCGCACCAAATACGGTACCAACTCACCCCGGATTGATGAGATGGACCTACAATACAAGAATATACAACAAGATTTCAATGTGCCGTGGATGTTAAGCAAAGTCATCAGTATCATACATTAGCGATAAAGTCAATAATCCTGATTTAATGTGCTGTCTTTAGATAGCGGTACGCTTCCTAATCGTCACTTGGTGAAGAAAACTGAGAGTAAAATACTAAATGAACAAGTGAGGAAAATAGTTTGTGAGTGAGCCCCTTTCTGTAAACACAGAAAAGACAGCTGAGATGGTTAACACATTTACCTTGCAATTATTTGACTGCATGATTTTTCCGTATTTACTTCCTCTTTAACTTGTAATGTTCTTGGCAAATGCTTTGGAGCTATTTGTGCTTTAAATCTGATTATATATCATCAGAGAGGAAAAGGCCAAGGGTGTGCCAGAAACCGGCACTACTTTGAAGAAAGTCTCCCCCTAAAATGAATATATAGATTCATCCATTTAGCCACTGCAGTTAAAGTTCACACACTACTAAATTATGTTATGTAATAATTTGGAGGATGCATTAGACTCAATAAATTACAATCAACAGTGAGTTAGAGTTAGAATATAAATGTATGTTAATGAAATAAATTTAAGTGAATGATGTGTAATGTATTAAAAATAAAGTAAAAACAACTAGCATCTCAGGTTCTTATGACTTTTAAAAACAACACAGATAAAACTTCAGGTCTCTCTCTGCGTAAATCAGGAGCTAATTTCTTCTTCCTCCTCTTTCCACTGTGCTATGCTCAGTGTTCCTCTCCAACACCCCCCCCCCTTACTTGCCCTCTCTTACTTTCTTTTAAAGGGAGATTAGAATTTCCATCTGAATGACAGGAGAAAAACAACAGTTACTCTGTCTATTTCTCTCCTTGAGCAAGAGACAGAGAAAGAGCATGGAGGAGAAAGGAAGAGAGAGAGAGAGATGAGCTGTGAAAAGAAAGTCCAAGAAAAGAACTGAAGAAAGAAATGAGTCATCTAACAAGAGATGATATATGGAGGGGGCAGAGTGTGCGTTAGTGATGTAATGACGTAAGATTTATATCTACATCTCCATGGCAAATTACTATGTTCAAGTGTGCCCCTCGCCTTAACCAAAAATATTCAGTAGAAGAGAGTTTGTTGGCTTGGTTTTGGATTTATGTATCAAATAAAACTTGGATACCCTCCATTTAAAATAGTTAAAATGTAAAACTGGGCAATAATAGATTTCCTCAGTCTAACCTCCAGCCAAGCGCCCACTTTCTCATCACCACCCTGTTTTGAGAAGTGTGGTGCTGTGCTGTTCCTGAGCTTGCAACCTTGCCTGGAATGCATCTGGATCTAGTTCCATCCTTATCAAACATGCTTGATATGTTTGCCTTTTAATGTGCTACCCCAAATCTCCTTTTAAGTGTGGACAGTTTGCCAAAAACCTATGATGATTGTTTGGAAATGATGAGTTAGGACATCATCTGAAAATATATTGTCTAGAGAGCAGAAGATCAGTTGGCTTTATGGGCAGTGCGGATTGAAGTGCTATGGAGAGTGTTTTTTTGTTTTTTTAAAGTTGCTGCCTTAGTGTTGGTGATTGGACTATTGGCCTTGGCAGAGGTCTGTTCTTTCCCAGTGCTCTTCTAGTTCAATATGTTTTCTGGCCACAAGCAGTAAATGGATGACAGATGGATGTCTACTGTGATGACAAGTGGCTCGGCTTCCAAACCTACCTTATCTTGTCTTATTTTCCTTCTTTTTCTGCAAATCATGCCTCCCTTAAGATCACGCTATGGCCTTAACTTTATAAATTACAGAATTTTATTCAGTTCCAATCTTTCTATTCTTGTCAATGCATCTTATAATGGTAAAGGTAAGAACATGCTAGTAAAACACAGTGATTTATTTACAGAAATAGAAAAACTACAGAAAAAAATGTCTATTTCCATACATGTTATGGCCTTGAATCACGAGGTGACTATATTGTTACACCTCTACTCAATACCATTATGTTATTACCAACACCAGCTTTAAACACTTTAATACAAGCTAATGCCATACAGATCATATAGATCTTTGAGTATTCAGAGTCTAACCATGCATCTATTGCCTGGGTAGTTACAGAAGGCTCCCTGTGACACTGCTTCACTTCAGAGGCTAAAGGCCTAACAGCCTGCCTCAGTGACACATAGTAAAACAAATTAACACCTCGCTAGAATACCCTGCTAAAAGGACCTTTCAAAGCCTTACACACCATGTAACCATGTTTAACACTTGCTACAGATTAAGCGGCAAATGTGAATGTCTGTTTGACTGTGTGGGTTCATGTCCAAGTGTATGTGTGTACTTAATATGCATACTGCTCACACCGCAGAGAAAAATGGGTCATTTTCAGATTATTTTTGTAAAGATTTAGGGTTAAAATTCAAGGTTATGTGTTAATTTTTATATTCATAGTCAGAAATAAGTGAAGAACTCACTTGTTGTCAGCGAGAAAGTCCACCACTGCTTTTTTCAGACAGTAAAGGTGAGCGTCCACGAGGCCAGTTTTGATGTGCATCCTCGGATGTCTGAAAGTAAAAGAAAGATACAGAATCAAGAGAGGACAATTATATGAAAATTTGACTTTTTACATATTCATGAGGTTAGCTTGCTTTGCAAAAACTCACACAGCACAAGAAAAGGAATCATCTATGACATTTTACACACGAAGACTGAAAGAAAATACATCAGAATTTCCATCAGAATATGCATTTGTGGCGTCCTACCACTCTGCATACACGCACCAATTTCATGACAAACAGCTTAACCCTAGCTGCTACTTGGAGGACAATTTGCTTTGATTCTTTTCATCACCTGCTGTTTTAATGTTTTATGTTTGCTTCTCATTTACTGAAAACCCTTTTAATTTACCTCCGCTTTGCACATAGGACAGGAACACTTGATGGAAACCAGACACAGCCATAGGCTTACATAAAAGTCAGAGAATAGTGACATCTGTCTATTGTCCTCTGTCAGCTACCATAGATGTGGCCCCAGTGAGCTGCTGCCATGAGACAGGTTTATGTTGACTGGGGGGCCACACTCACACACACACATATGCATTCACTCATTCACACATTTACCCACACACGGACACACAGTGGCCAGGGTTTGAACATGTGACATTTACGAAGCGAGAGCCAAAGAAAACCATTTTATCCACCAGGTTTCAATAAACAAATCCTCCCTCACCCCTTCACCCTCACCGACTACCCATCCTCCTCTTCCTCTGCCCTTTCAATCATTACATAATAAAAACAGTGGGGTGCATTGTTTCTAAAAAGGACCATACCACTGCTTTTACATGTTTTAGCCCATTTACTACAAATCACATATACCATCCATTACTGCTAACCATTTTTCAAAGCATGCTGCAATGATTTAGATTTTTTAAGTTGTAAAAGCAGATTGATTTGAAAAGCCTGTGTCTCATTACCTCACAACAATAACGTAACTTTGACAGAATTAAAAGCAGACATGCTGTTCACTGTTCACAATGATGTTCAGATCTGAGCAAGCGGATTTATAATCTCATACTGAAATCAATAGAAATCTAATGGCCCCGAGACTGTTGTGTTAATCAATCAAGACATCTGGGTGGTAGTCAAAACTAAAGAACTACAACTATTCTCCCCTCTGCCAGTAAGTATTCATGTAACACTACAGTTGTCTTAGCATGGTAATGTTTGAGTCAAAATTGTGCTTGCTTCACAAACACATGAAATACAAATATCTTAAGCACCTTCATTGCTTTTTGGCACTGAGTGTTTAAGTCTTTGGAATGCTACAAGAGAGATTAACATGATTCTTCCAAAAGATGTTCCCTCATTTAGTATTGTGATGATGGTGGTGTTTTTTTTCTGATGTAACTTTCTCCTTCAAATCAAAACCACTAATTGAGCGTGCTTATTCAGAAAACAAATCCATCTACTACGGGCATTGACACTGGCCGCCAGTCAATGTCACTTAAAATCATATGCATGGCTGCCACAACTCATCTTACTGGCAATGGCAAAAGCCTTCCAGGATTATAAGTGAAACAATGTTTGTTTGTTTTTTAATGATTTTCTGTCCATATTCAAAGTTGGAAACATTCCACAATAAAGCCTGAATTGACAGAATAAAGGCTTAAAATAAAATAAAAATAAAACTTATTTGCTGGGAGCACCGCTTAACATGTACATAGAAATGAGCAATAATGAATAAATAAATGTCATATAAAATATCTGCAATGACCCAGGAGAGGATACTGAAACTGGCTTGGGATTGAATAAGAAAATTAATGATAAAAAATGTCAACTTGTCTTTGTCTTCCTACCTCTCCTCAGCTCATTTCCTTCCTCTCCCTTCTATCAAAAACTCCTTTCTACAATTTTCCAGCTCTCCTCTCCCCGCCATTCATATCTCTCTCCCTCTCTTCACCAGTCTTGCAGTATAACTAGAGTGACTCAGGAGGATTGCTTGGTCACACATATTTTACAACCAGATGCTGAAAGCCATAAATCAAACTGTGTGTGTGTCCATCTGTGTTAAGGTATTTTATTCAAAAGCATAAAAACACATGTGCATGCACACACAGATACGCTCTGTAGGTGTTTGTCAAATGTATTTATTGATACAACCTTTCCCAGGTGTGTGCCTGTGTGTGCCTGTGTGTGTGTATCCTGGGCTTCAAGTGGAATTTATGTGTACAACCAACATGTGACACCATTGTTTGGCACCTGCGGGTGGCCAGGAGAGAGAGACGGGGAGAGAGAGACAGGCAGAGAGAGAGAGAGAGAGCAAGAGTAGCAACAGGTGCCCTTATTAGGGGTACCTGCTGTTGTTTTCTCACACATTAGCACTTGATTGTGACACTGACTGTGCTGTGGGTCTCTATTTTTTCCTCAACATGTAAAAATTCAGAAGCTTTTCTTTTCCCCGACATTGCAACAGGCTGCTCTTATTCATTACTGTGAAGTGACGGTGTGATGTGATCAAGCAACCAATCACCTGCTGAGCTGAATCAGACAGATCCTGAGCCATCTCCTCTTCTTATCAAAATATTTACTAGATGTTCTACACAGTCGCCTCAGCCTTTAGACATGTGGCCTGCTTATGTTCAAAGAACCTTAATAAGCCCAATATCGCATTTCATAAAGCTGTATTAAATTATTCTGACAGCAGCAGAGGCAATCTTTTTTTCCTTATTTCAGGCAAAGCATGGTGCCTCCACTATAAAACACTGTGGGAAACCCTACATTAGCAACTGCAACTATTACTGTGAATTTTTGGAGTAGAAAAGGGAAAAAGGCAAACCAATAACAAAAATAGCTTCAAGTGACACTATCAACAGCAGGTTTTAATGGAGCAATCAACCAGTAAAAATTGCTGGGTCAGAAGCATGATGATAAAGAAAGTGTAAAGTATAAGTGCTGCACCTAATGTAGAAAAAGGCTTTGGGGAAAGTGGACGGTACCTCAGAGGGTGTGGTGATTAGACATGATCTCAGTCAGTGAAATTACCCATTCAATATCTATTAAACAGAGGTGCCAAAACAACCACCTAATTTTCTTTAAAACAAAATCCTCCACATGAGAACTGTGTGTACGCAGGGCATGACAACCCACAATTCAGGGTGAGGAAAATACCAACAATGGCCCTACTTGCATCACTCCTTGACACAAAAATATTGCCCAAACAGTTAATTCAACCTTTAAAAAATCATAAAACTTTTATTTTACTGAAATAGCACTAGTGAGTCTTGAGTCAAAGATGGCATTACTCATAAACTAGGTAATAAACTAGCATTTTGTTTTTCTTTATACCCCCAAATCCAGACTCCCCTCCTCTTTAATCCTAAACTAAATAGGACATTTTTTTAAGCATTACTAGTCTGTCTGATTCAAAACACTGAGCACTGGAAACATGCAACTTCTCTAGTTTACACTTTTTTGCAGAATCCAACAACAACAAACATCTTGCATTTCCCAAACAAGGGTAAACATCATGCTTTTCCTAAGACCAGCATCATGTGATTTCTGGTTGCTGTGAGTGCTGTAGAGCTCAGTGTCAAGGGGAGCAGGAATTTAGTGCCTCTGCAGGCAAGGATGACTCAACCCTTGGATTAATGACTGACAACTAAAGTACCACTGAAGTCCTCAGTGGGAGAGAGGAGTCACATCTCTCTCGCTTTCAAACACACACAAACACACACAGCATAATGTCTTATTTAGTTACAACTAAAACCCCACAGCGGACGATGACTCAGACGCAGCAGATTGACTGTTAATACCCTCATTAGCCAGGTTTCCACTACAGAGCCAACAGAGCTGAAGGGCTTACGACTTACTCAGGGCATTCAACTATTGCTTCCAAAATAAAATGTGTGTGATTCCCTTAATACCATGCTAGTCTAATAGATGTTTTCTTAATTGAGCTGACTTGCACATCTGAACCTGTGTTATAAGCCTGAAGTGCACATGGTTCAGTCCGAAACACATATGACGACGCCATCTTTGCGTGACAAATGACAATTAATCGATCATCAAAATAGTTATGTACATTTTCTGACCACCGACTAATCGATTAATTGACTAATTGTTTCAAGCCTAATCTTTACGTTATATATCAGACATGATAGATTACAGAAAAAGGGACATGAAATCCAGACTGACAACTAGTTAGCTCACAATCCTACCAAATGATTCAGAGGTTCTGACTTTAAAAAAGAAAAGAAAAACTATAAAGAGCCAGCAAGAAAATATCCACGTAAAAAAATAAAGCAAATGCACAAAAGTGATATACAAGCATATAAATAAAAGATAATCATTTCTAACTTATCACTTTATGGTTTCCAGTCTTTAATAAAAGTACAGTACATAGAGTACAAATTAAAGTGAAATATACTTATTTTGTTATTGCATTAATGTAATCCTGACCTTTTGTTGTACTGCAAAGGAAGTTATTTAATTTTTGGAAGGTACCGCACATGTGGTATTTGTGTTGATTGGGTTTTAGCCCCTCTGTTTTGTGCCATCATTGCAAACAGATGCAAACAAACTCCTTGTCCAATATCTTAAAGGTCATTGCAGTTAAAATATGCTTCTCAAAAATGCTTGGCTGTTTTCATAATGATCTGAACTTCAAGACAAAAGAAAATACCACAAGCAACTACATTTACCATGTTAGCAAGGGCACATGATGCAGAAGCATTATAGTTAGATATGGATGTGATTTTATACTGACTGTAACTAATGATACTACCCAAACAGGAACCTCAATGGTTTCGCTTGAATCTCTCTCATGATCTGAACAATTTTGATTTTGAATCGGTCCATTAATACACAATCAACTACTCCTCCAGGCCTTCATCCAAAGGACTCTGACAGGTGGAGCTTTAATGTATGAGGGGAAGCTCAGCTGGAGTCCTTTCACACCGTTTAAGCAATTTCCAGGTCAAACAATTTCACATGTGCAGAATGTATTGAGCTAACACACCTACACCATGTGGAAAACATAAAGAAGGAGAGTAGACAAAAAATGACACAGGATTGCAGGATTGGAGGTTGAACAAGGATGGGAGGATGAATGAATGGATGGGTGGGTGATCGTATTGGGGGAAATAAATAAGGAGAGATGCCTGAAAGAACAAAGGGTCGGGGGGAAATAACTCTGCACCAACAACAAAGAGACTTTTAACTTTACATGTAAAGATTACAAAGGAAGACACCTGTAGTGTATGTATGAAGTGCCCTTTGAGTGGATGGCACTGATGGGCAAAACAGTCAGATCTTGTAAATCCACCTGGGGCGGGTTATAAAAATCCAGAACTCCAGAAATGCATTCTGTTATTACGTAGGCGGTAAATACTGTATGTGGAGAGATTTTTAAAATCTGTTTCGTGTGCTTGTGTGACATGTATGTGTATAAATGATCTGAGGTGATTTAAACGTTATAAGTCTTTCAATGTAAGCCGTAAATGTTTAGCTGTGGGCTCATGTTTCCATAACACTGTGACAAGGTGTGAGTGTTTTCTCTCAATCACTGTCCACCTCGAGGTTGTGTTACGTGTTTCTATGTGTTCATATAAGCATTTCTGTGTGTGTAAGAGATAGAATATGTGTTTATATATGTGTGTGTGTGTGTGTGTCTGAAGATTTCCCTGTGCAGGGAAGCATGTAAGCAGCTGCTCTGGCCCCCTCTTATTGGCCAGAATTTACAGTGGCTTTGGCTCCATGAAGTATTTACGAGCTCCCAAAACACCCGCTCTCACACATACATGCATTTTAGGATTCCGAAACGAAAACCTACCTAGAGTATTCTTCCTGTAACAAAAATCCCACACACCCGCCACAGAACCTTTAGCCTAAAACACACCGACTCGGATTAGAAACCAAAACATCTGCTCTCCTTACTACAAACTACAGATGTGCACAACGTATTTATCAGTCAAACCCAAAACACTGATCACCACTGATGTTTGGATGAGAGTATTTTGCTGACAACATAGAGGTAAAGAGACAAAATATGTTTTTGTAATTCAGACTTTTAAGTTACTTACTTCCTCATGATAGATTTTCTAATTGATAGCCCGTCCTCCAGATCGGCCTCATTGGCCATGAACAGCAGCCTCTTCCCTGACTGATCCACTCCCACAAAGTCTCTCTGCTCACCTGGGGAATAATACACAATATCTAATATTAATAGAAAATAATAGAGACTAACAGTAAGTGACAGTTCTATCTACAGCAATCTATGCAAACAGTCTCATCTCCTGTGATTCATTTTTCCTTTTACCTGTCTTTTTCTTGCCCTTCTGGCCCGGGACTGTCTCTGTGAATTCATGGGCTTTGCTCATTAGCATGGCCAGTGTTGCATTGTGGGCTCTAAACAGGTCAACCACTTCATGAAGTGCCACGTCCGTTATCAGGTCACAACTCACCACCAGGATGTCCGTCTGAAGAGGGAAATTGAGAAGAAAGAGTAAATTAAGACAAAATGGCCATAACCTACAGGATCTGCTGGGATGAACTATTATTGCTTCACTAAGTAAAGAGATTTCAGGCTTCCAGAAAGAGGTTTCTGGCTTGTGCCTCATTTTGGAACAAAATCTTTCCACCTGTTGTGACTTTAAAGACATTTCCAATGTCACACCGCACGCACACGCACACACACACACACACACACACACACAAAAGCCCACAAAAAACACAGACATGCATGACATAGAGTGTAAAGGGCAAGTTGTGTTTACAAAGTGAGGTTTGCTCACTCACGACAGTCATCTCGGCATGCATGTAGACTATACATAAATTAATGTGGCGACAATCCTCCACATAAACACCTCAAAACATGAGAGCTTGGACTTTCAATAGTCATGACAGAAACTGGCTCACTGAGCTGGAATTTGGGACAAACATATAGACAGAGAGAGAGAAAGATGAAGGAATAACTGTTTTTTGGTCAACAGTGAGCTTTTCCAAGTTTAGCATTGCTTGTATATAAGCCAAACCCACACAAACACTTGTAGGGCCTGTGTTAAAGTGACTTAAACTCTGGTGACAGTGAATAATAAATCCTGCTTTGTTTCATTGTTTTTGTTTAACAATGTGTCTGTTTCTCCTCAGCTGATCCGATTACGTTGAAAGTGTGCTTTATTACAAAAGGCTTGAATGCAAGTGTCCTTGTCATCCTCTAGCTGCATAAATACTGCTATATGTACGGTGACATCACAACAATGAATGCAAACAAATAACTGAAAATGAAATGAAGCATATGCCAAGAGAAATGCAATATGTAATTAGGGAGAACTCAAAAACAACACTTTGAAGGAAATGGCAAACAGTAAACCTGTGTTTGCTAAATGAATCTGAAATCTTGCTCAACTCTTTTGTAAAATAAATCGTCATCCTCAAACCTGGCATATATCCAAATATGTTTGTATCCAGTCCAGGTTTACTTTTCTATCTATCATTCCCCTGGCAAAAACTGACACATGGTCACATAACCTTCCTTGTACCTTCCTCTCTTACCCAGAACAACGAGCTAGGCTGGCTGGCTTTGAGCACCTTCCTATGAACTGATCCAAAAACAGCACAGCTCTAACATCACAACGACAAAGAAAACAAGGATCTCTGTGCTTGATTTTCAAAACTCAAATGACAAAAAACACACTCCTGTTTTAAATGCGAGCTATTTTCAGCATTGCAGCTATGTAATAATATATATGTCAATGTAGGTCTTTAACTTTGTATGTCAGCACACAGCTTGTGAATTCCACAGACATATCACTTACTCTACCACCAACAGCCTAGATCGGTCATTTTAACTGGCCTCCAATGATGCTACATGTCTGTGTGTGTGTTTGTGTGT